TTAAACTTTTCCACCGTCTTCCAAACTTTTGCTCCATTCAAGATAGGATGAACTATTGTTGAGAATACAAAGTGCTTTCTTTAATAGATTTTCTTTTTATTTTAGAAATGTTTTTATGAAGGAACAAAAACCAGTTCCACCTGTAAAGCCAACCAACACTAGAAGTAAACCTAGACTTACTCAGTTTCTCATACATTTGTTCCATTTCATAAATTTCCTTTCCTTTAAACTATCATTATATGCTCTTTTCCCACATCAAGACTCATTTTTAGAACTAATTTCCAGCTCTATTGTAGTAGCTCATCCAAACACGAAAATCCATGGCAATTTTATTAATACTTTCCCCATTGTCCAGTCTCTTTATGGCATCCTATTAACTTCCATTGTTGCAATGTCTAAAATCTGAAAGAAATATTACTCCTACCAATTTTGTAATAACAAAGAGCCAGAAATATTTTTGGGAAAAAATCAGAGGGCAAAAGTGTAAAATTAATTTTATTGTGAAAACTGATGCATATTCTGAGATAATTACATGGTTCCCATGTTAAACTCTTACCATGAAAAAACAAAAAACAAACAAACAAACAAACAAACAAACAAACAAAAAAAAAAAAAAAAAAAAAAAAAAAAAAAAGAGGCATTTGAAATTAATTACGCAACTATTTTGCTTTATCTAAGACCTGTTTTGTAAATTCTGCTACACAGCATTTATTACCTTTTTTTTTCAGATTCAAAATATTGAATAAGTTGCCAAAATGAAAATTAATGTCACTTTATTGTATGACAGGGAAAAATAAAAATATTTTATTTTAATCTTATTTCTTATATAGAATTTCAATATATTATCATTATTTTAAAGAAATTTATCAATGCTATAATGTTTAAAAAAATCATCGGAAAGTTTCCAGATCTCCGAATTAAAAATAAAATCGTACCATTTATATTAGAAATAGGAATAATTATAACTTACGAACCCATTCAATAGATAGCATTTTTGTCACTGAAACACCAAAAATATTCCTCCTATATATGCTGATTTGGTTCCTAGACAAAAACCCACTGGACAAAAGTGCACGCAACAAAAGCCCACTATGATAATTAAATACATGACAAATACCCACAGCGATGAAAGCACACATTGATTAAAGCCCACACTGATAAAAGTCCACATAGATATAAGCCCATGCTGATAAAAGCCCACATTGATAAAAGCACACATAATAAAAAGGAACTTATGGTTTTTTTATTACTAAACCGTGTAATTATAATTTTAATTATAATAAGTGGAGTATTCAGATCTGAATTTATCTCAAATATATGTCTGCTTGTATATTTTATCACTACTTTATTTGTTTAATTTATTGAAATTGGTTGAAAGAAAACTTTCTACTCTGTGATTAAGTGATTAGCTATAACGTTTCGATGATAAATCTGAAATTGCATTTTATAATTTACTTACTTATTTAACTTTGGTATGTGTATGTGAAAATGAAAAATACCATTGTGGAGTTTCTCACATGCTATATTTAAGGTAATATGGCTGAGATTAAATATAATAATGTTTCATTATTAAAACTATTAACTTTTAAATTAAAAAACACTTGAATTTCATTTTATTTCTTTTTAGTTTTTCCTTTAGTTCCTTTTTAGTTTAGGAATATTAAAACAGTTAAGCACAATGAAAACTTGGTAAGAGATTTTATTTTTACTTTACTGAGTATTATCAAGTTTAAACATTTCTCATTGAAAGCTTTTTTGAATGTAAACATAAATTTGCGATTTCTAGAGATATTTCTTTTAGATTCTGAATAAATTAAAACTATCAGCTGACAACTGTCAGAAAATGAATTCCAATGTAACCTCTTAATCTTTCAACTACAGCAATTTAGAAAGTGTTTTAATTTTCATTTTATTTATTTTTTTTTATTTTTTATTTTTATATATTATTATTATTTTTTTTTGGGGGGATGGAACAACCTTAGAGTCAACATCTCTACAATTTAAGTACAATCACCTGAAATATAGTATAAATATGTAGCATTTATTAAAGATGTGAAGATTACAAGAACCTATGCTATAATAACATGTAATAAAATTTGTTAACTACAAAATATATTTTATAAGTCATCAGATTCAAAGTTCATCGTTTTCATATTCTAAGTATACATATTATATAAATTCATCATTCATTAAAAGTATTATGTATAGTAATAGAAAATTAGTATGTTTCAAATTGTAATTTTTAATAATTTGTCTTGCATTTGCTGTATATTTGTTCAAGACATATGGATACCAGTTATATAACACGAAAAATAAACAGAAAGCAGCTAATCTTATATAACAGTTAATTGTGAAAGAAAAATTATAGTGCTCTTAATTAGAGTTATAGTGATTTTAAATCTTCCTATTGTAAATAGCCGATTTCTAATTGATATTAGATTAAATTAATTTCATTAAAAATTAGAAAATAATTGTAGTGAATTATATCTGATGCTAATTTAAGGCTGCAACTTAATAAATACTTGTTTCATTCATCTGGAGAACTTGTAGTTGAGTGATTTGAAAGGCCTCAATAACTTTTGATTGCAATTTGTTCTTTACATTTTCTGGCTTAACCGTGACAGAACGTTACTTTTGATTTGAAACAATGTTTCAGGCAGCAAAAGGATTTAAGAAAGAGCACTTGTTGTATGTTGCGAAAGAAATTGGTGCAACATTGCCTCAAAAGATCACAATAAGGGAACTGAAAGAAATTATTTTACAGAATAAGCACTATTTGGAAGATCCATAGTTTGCAACAGATTTTTTGGTAATGACTGTCAGTGAGCAGCGACAAAAAGAAGAGAGACGAAAACAAATAGAACATGAACAAAAGCTCAAACAAATAGAATATGAATACGAAGAACGGGAAAAGATAAGACAACACAAAATGGAATTGGCGCGAATTCATGCGAAACTGCCAACGGCAAGCGAGTCTCAAAATTCTGTTTTCTTCACTGGATCTAAAAAGAAATTTAATTTACCGAAATTAGAGATTAGATAGTTTAGTAGTGACATTAAAAACTAGCTATCCTTTTGGAGTCAGTTCCAACATATTCATAATGATGAAGAAATTGTACCTGAAATTAAATTTCCGTACCTTATTCAAGCTACTGTTAGTGGATCCAGAGCACAAGAAGTTGTGGAAAGCTTCATGCCTACAGGAGCCAATTACACCAAAGCAGTTGATAGTCTCAAAACTCGGTTTGGAAGAGATGAACCTTTAGTGGAGGTTTATGTTAGAGAGTTGTTAAAATTGATAATTTCGGTTCAAAAACATGAAAAAATTTCAATGACATCTCCACATGATAAACTCGAAACATATCTTAGAGCACTGGAAACACTGGGAGTGACTACTGATAAATGTGCTTCGATACTTTATCCTATGGTTGAATCTTGTTTTAAAGAAGTGTTCCTAAAAGCATGGAACAGAAGTGCCTCTTCCGCAATTTCAACCGATGCTAAGGAACGATTGACTAATTTGATGTCCTTCCTTAAGGCTGAAACTGAAGGGGAGGAAAGAATAAATTTAGTAATGTCAGGTTTTGGTTTATAGTCAAGTGAAAATCACCAATCTTTTAAGAAAAGAAGAGGGCATTTGACAACAGGAAGAGTACCTACAGCTGCCAAACTACTTTCTACAGCTTCAAAGGATGTGAAGAAAGCATGTATTTTTTGTTCAGGGAAACATGCAAGCTCAGACTGTTTTTCTGCTCAAAAGATGAGTATAGCTGAGAAGCAGAATATTTTAAGAGATAAACAATGCTGCTTCACTTGCCTGACAGCTTGACATCCAGTACAAAGTACAAAGTGTTTCTGAAATGTGTATACATATTATATAAATAGCCGTTATATAATATGCATACACACTTATATAATGGCTATTTATATAAATGTGTATAGTATGTGGTAAAAAACATGTGCCACTTATGTGTGATACTCTAGATGCTCGAAACAAGAAATCAGACAACAGTGATGAAAAATGTGCAAGTTCTAAAATTAGCATGTCTAACATCACTTATGGCCCAAAGGTATTCCTTCAAACTATGAAAATAAAACTAGTTTCAGATAATAAGGAAGTATTTATTAGAGAAATCCTAAATTCAGAGTCTCAAAAAAAAAAAAAAAAAAAAAAAAAAAAAAAAAAAAATACAGTACAAAGTCCGTTATCCGGACGTCCATTATCCAGAATGATCTATAATCCGGACCTCAAAGCCACAGACTTTTTTTTTGTATGCTTTGCACATGCGCGTTGGGAGGATGTCTCCAGATACATTAAAAAATGCTTGGCATAGTTTAAGGCAGGCTACTATATTTCATGGTGAGGACGATGAAGATGATAGCCGCTAATTTGAAGGTTTTCAGACATCACAAACTAAAGGTGAAATTTTCCAGTTATTGAATTTTGTAAAGAAATGTGGAGAAGTGGTAATAAATGATGATGATATAACAGGAGTTTTTCATTGCAACGATAATGGCCCAATCACCAATGAATTAACGGACGGCGAAATCATTAGTACGGGTCTAAATCCAGAAAATACTGCTTCCGATAGGTGGAACTTTGTGACTGAACAAGATATTATGTCTGTTTATAGAATTAAAGAGAAAGTATTAGCACAAAAAACAAAAAAAAAAAAAAAAAAAAAGCAACATAAACAACTTACATTGAAAGAAACATTTAATAAAGTAAACAAATAAATATTAAGCATTTTTTTTTCTCTTTTGTAAATTTTGATACCCCTTAGATCATAATTGCTCTTTATTTCATAAATTACAGTTTCATATTTTTAATTGTATGATTTCTGCATGCCATCTTACCAGATTTAAATTGATGATCTATAATCCGGAAAAACTCCAAATCCGGAATCGCCGAAGTTCCAACGAGTCCAGATTACAAACTTTGTACTGTATATTCAAAATTCGAGCTGAAGAAATGGGATATAGTCTAGTAAGAAAAGAAACTCTTATACACTCTTTATTTGGGAGAATTGATTCTGAAAAATGTGAACACACGTGTTATAGAATCAGACTAAGGAATCCACAAAATAATATAACTTGTAATATGGAAGCTTTAGACCAACCAACTATATGTGATAATATTGCACCTGTTAGTTGAGGTTCATGGATCAAAGAGCTTCAAGAAATGAAGATAGCATTGTCAGATGTGGGTAAAGAGTCAACAACTGTTCAAGTACACCTTGGAGCTGACATGATAGGAAAATTTATGACAGATCAGCGTAAAATATTGACTTGTAGACTTGTAGCAATGGAAACTTTACTTCGTTGGACCTTATCAGGAAAATTATCTGATAAAAAGATATCTTCAACCAATGCTATGCTCGTAACTTCCCTTTTTGTGAAAGAAAATGGATATTTCTGAAATGTGGAAATTGGATTCTTTAGGCTGCTATCACACGTCGGTTTGTTTCGAAAGAACAACTGTTTGGAACAATTTTTCTCCTTTGTCACAACAGCCAATCACCACAGCTCGCTTTGGGGTTAACACAGGGGAAACTGGTTCTCCATTACAAACAAGCTAACAGCATTCGGCGCTGATAGCTGATTGGTTGAAAACGAACAACTTGCAACATTTTTCGAAAGGAAGGAAAAAGTCGCACGTCTTTCTTTCAATAGTAAACCAGGCAGAAAATTGTCCCAAACAGTTGTTCGTGTGAAACAAACGCCGTGTGATATGGGCCTTAGAGATACAAGATTCTTCAGAACAAAGAACTAAAGAACTTTATGAGGTCTCAATGGAATATTTTTTAAAGACTGTCAAAGTTGATGAAGATCAATGTTTTCTTGATAGTTTACCATGGCTTGGCATTCATTTACCTCTACCAGATAATTTTAATCTGGCACTAAAAGGGTAACAAGTGACCACCTGTAAGCTTAACACTGAGAATTTCTATGAAGAGTATGGAGAAGTGCTCAAAGAATGGGAGCAAGAAGGTGTTATCGAAGAGGTTCCTAAAGAAGAAATTAAGTCATCTTGTCCCTATATGCCCCATCGACATGTGGTGAAGGCAAACAGTACAACTAAAATTATACCTGTGTTTAATGCTTTTTCTAAAGAAAAGGGAACTCCTAGTCTCAATGATTGTGTTGAGAAGGGACTGAATTTGATAGAATTAATTCCTTCCATATTAAAAAGGTTTCGCTTGTATAAATTTGGCATAACAGATAATACATGCAAAGCGCTCTTGCAAATCAATTTCTATAAAAAAAGAGATTTCCTCCGATTTCTACGGTACGATGAAGATGGGAATCTCAAACATTATCATCATCGCAGAGTTGTTTTTGGTGTTTCTTGTAGTTCGTTCTTGCTCGGATCAACTAATCGATACTATTTAGAAAGGAAACTAGATGAAGCCAAGCAAGGAAATGAAAAATATTCTCGAGATATTATCCGACAACTGATGGTCAGCTTTTATGTGGATAATTGCTTGACTAGTGTCAAAACTGAATCAGACCTGAAGCAATTTATTGAAGTTGCGATTGAAATTATGGCTGAAAGAAAATTTGTTTTACGAGGGTGGGAGTGCACTAACCCATCTGAATCTACAGCAAGTTCAACAAACGCTCTAGGAATGATGTGGGAGATACATTGTTATACTCTTCCCATTAATATCCCTGATGTGAAATAAATAAAGAACCTAGTAACCACCAAAAGAAATATTTTAGCTGTTTCGCACAAAATTTTTGATCCTCTCGGCATAACTGGTCCAGTGACATTGCGGCCAAAACTCTGGCTACAAAACTTCTGGAAATTAAAAATTAGTTGGGATGAAGAAGTTGATACAAAAACACATCAAGATTTTTTAAAATGGCTAAATAAGCTTTAAATTTTATATTTTCAGCAAACGTAGCACCACACGGCACCCGCCGCTGTGGTGCCTCATCATCAGCCTGATGACATCAGGATGCTCATTGGTGCCGTCAAACCGAATGTCTAGTCCACGTGCAGAGGATTTCACTTCACAATAGTGAACTGTTTCTAGTTCGGTCAGTGGATTAAATTATATTTATTAATTGTTTTTAACATTTGGAAATCATATATTCTGCGAAAAACATTTTGACAATTTTTTAAAATAAAAACAGGGATACGGTGTTACGCAGATAAATAACTTTTATACTGTACGTAAGACACAATGAATGGTAAAATTTGGACTGTTCTGTTAAAATTAGTTTCTTTTTCGTCTAACAAAACAAAATTTTTTTCAGCGAATTATTTCTATAAATATAATACATCACTGAAATTACTTTCCACACCTAAAATTTCTCTTATTGATAAATATTCTTTTATATTTCCATAAAAACAAAATCTTACAATATATAAATTTAAACATTAACAGTCTGCAAAATTGTATGGCCAGTTAACCAGTTAAAAAACCAAAAGCGCTTCAGCACATAGGTCCCCGCTCTGATACAACGCTTAATAAACCATACCTTCAGATGATTTTGAATGCCAAGTGCAGGAAAAGTAGTTGTACGCGCCTCAGTGCTATAGTATGCTGTGCTTCTCCAGTAGCCCATACATATAAAGCGTGATTTTCTATTAGTGTGCAGTGCGTACACATCAAAACTTTCTACATTTGTTTGCTTTTGAACGCGCTACGTGGTGCAGCACCTAGTACTGCATGCACTGCGAAAATACAAGCAAGCAAATCAACATAATATTTGAATACATTATAAATAAAATTTATTATATACCATATAAAGATAGGTGCAGAAAATTATTGTCAATCATAATTTTGCCAGCCCTGCACATATAAACTGCACGCCAGTGGTTGATCCTCTTTACCTAAAGTCAGAAGGTAAAGCTATTCACTTGCGCTGTATATTAAGCGGTCCATTTTGAATTAGTCCAGTCACTCACTACAGATGGTTACATTCAAGCCTTAAGAGTATTTATTGCAAAAAGACGCATGATATCAGTTCTTTACTCAGATAACGGCTCGAACTTTGTAGGAACAAACAGTGCATTAAAAATCTTAGATTGGAACAAATTTATTCCACTCAAAGCCGCATGGCGGATGGTAAGAATGCTCAAGGAACTTCTGCGTAGAGTGTTAGGAAAATCCACCGCAGATTATGAAAAGCTCAACACGATCCTGTGTGACTGTGAATCAGTAATAAATGCTAGACTGCTGACGTACATACAAGATGACCCGTGTGAATTGGTACCACTGACACCAGGAATGTTTATCCATAGAGGCAGCAACAGTGAGACTCCAGATCTTCCTTGATAAAATGCATAAAGTACTTGCAGAAGTTGGATGAAAATCTTAGATAAAGATTTAGAAATGAGTATCTTGCTCTTTTAGTCCACAAGGGAGTCAGAAGAATTGATGCTTTAAACGTTGGGTATATTGTTCTAATTGGGCATGATCATGTCCGACGCATCGATTGGCCACTTAGAATAATTTTAGAGATTTATCCCTGGAACAGATGCCGTTTCAAGAGTAAGAACCTACAAGGGAGAGAGAACACATCCTTTTCAAAGACTATCCATTAGAAGTGTCAGCAAAAACTGATGTTGATCTTTTGAAGGTTTCTAGAAAAGGTGACATATCTGTCAGAACTGTTTCCGGCTCTTCTGTTCACAACACTGATACCATTGAAATCAGACACCCTCTCAAAAGTAGATAAGGAAGGACCATAAGAATTCCTCATCAAATGGATTTGTGGGCATTTTTTTCCCTAAACTTTTGCGATTGTATAGAACATTCACAAACTTTAAAATTATACTTATTCTAAATTTAAATTGCAAAGTTCAGTTTGTAAATTTCACTTTGCAAGGTAGGAGTATGTTAAAGATTGTACAATAATTAATATCGTTATTTAAACTTAACTAATATTTCACTTATGATTTTCTACTTATGTTTTTGTTATTACTTTTCTTTTTTGCTAAATGACAACAATCATTATTGTTTTAAAAAAATATTTCATTCCTCTCCTCAAGCCTCGAGGCTTTGACGTGCTCACATAAACCAAACCAAACTCACTAATCAACTTGATGTTCAGTAACAAAAGAATGAGGATAAAGGTTGAAACCTTTTATTCAAGAGAACTATTTACAAGGGTACACCTTGTGCTTAACATATAGACCACTGCCTGTGGTGTTATGTTACGTACAAGTGAAGGAGCCACCTAATATTTACCTCAAATAAGTAGACATTAGCTATACAGACTAGAAACACAACAACCTTCTGGCGTCTTCGAGTTATGATCAAATTGTGACTCCAGCCAACACTGCAAGTTCTGCCACCACCGGTCGTTAAATTAGATCAAGTAAAATGCATTACATTACATGATACATATAGTGATACACAGTTGTGCGGGTGCATAATTTATGGCATTATTTATTGTAATGGGTACAGGCATCATATTTCAGGAAATTACATATTGCAGTAGATAAAGGCGTCTTAAAGATGATGTTCTTTTTAGGGCGTGTTTGCAGACATAATCTGTTTACATGAGTGTTTGCTATCAAAATTAAGTTAGCTATAAAATTGTTTACAAAGCTTACTTCATTCTGCATATTTATGCTTACTGCTTACATTTAAATATTGTTGTACAGATGTGCTGATACTTTAGCTACTCAGTATTGACGAATGAGTTGCTAAAGTTTCAGCACAACCATACAACAATACTTAATTGTTGTGTTGATATTTTAACAACTCAATCGACAAAATATTGAGTTGCTAAAGCATCAGCACAACCAATAAACCTAAATTTTCAAGGTAATAAATAGAGGATTTCAAGATTAGCCTAACCTTTTCAGAAAATTAACTTACTGGTGCACTTAATGCAATGGCCGCAAATGGCTAAACTTTGACAGCAGAGGTCGACATAGCCAATTCTCTCATTCCCTTTCAATCGCCAAGAAGCTTTGCCTTAAATACTCTTAACTCATTTGCATCCTAAACATGTTTACACACTAACTTATTTACATTCAGGTGAGGAAGCGAAAAGTAGAATTGACAGTACAGGCTGAAATAATACATAATATGATAGTATTTTCTCCCACTTTCCAGCATGACTTCATGGTTTAATGGTTAGCACACTCCACACGTATTCGAGAGGTTCAAGTTAGAGTCCCGGCGAGTGCATTGCTCAATTTTCCCATCTCCAGCATGACACCTGAACTAAAAAAAAAAAAAAAAAAAGGTGGTGGATGATGATTCCTCTCCACCAAGATTTGACAACTGAGTCCCCTAATACCCAGTCATCTTTAAAAGGGGAGTATATAAGGTATTTTCTCCCTCCTCCCAGAATGCCTTCGTGGTGTAGCGGTTAGTACATCAGTATAGTATTTGAAAGATCCAGGCTAGAGTCTCGAAGAGGACATTGCTTATTTTTTATGTCACTCGCATTTATATATATAAAATTCTATGTTTAATTCAAGTTGGCTTAGTCTTAGGGTGCCCTTTTCACCATTGCTAAACGATCATTCAGCATCTCCTTCCCAAAACTTGAAAAGTACATATGTGTTTGTTTAAATATGGATTATTTTTAATGTAAATTAAACAAGTATAAAACATGTTGGTAAATACCAAAATCTGAATAAAAGTGCTTATTTATATTCATAAATTAAATCTAAATACTTAATATGTAAAGAAAAGGTTGACTAAATTACTCTCTGAAACTGTGAAATTTCTCTTAGGGCTATTCCTCCTGATTGAGAATACAGTCTAGACAGAATTAGCTTTTAATAGTGACTGAATGTACAGATAATTTAATTTGTCACACTTCTCTTATACTAACTTTTGTTATATAAAACTTTGGATTACGTGCATGTTTTTTGAAAATAAAAATTAAGACACAAATTTTTAAAAAAATTGCGTTTAAAATTTGATGTTGAATTCAAAAATGTTTATTTGGTAGTTTGACCTAATAAACCTAAGAGATCAAATTTGAAGTATACCTTATTTGTTCTTACTAACTTCTACTTAATGAATTATTCTTAGGAAAGAACCTTAAAAACTGGTGAAATATTTTGTTGTTCAGAGGCCAATATTTAGAGTAAAGAAGCCATCGATTTAGAACAACACACTTTATTTACACGTATAATGAATAAAAGGATCACACAGGAAATCGTATTGACCATCACACAGCAAGTAACATCTCATCATCTCCATACGCTCGAAGCTCGAATGATGGATGTGTCGGTAGAAGAGACAGCTGCGCCATCATAATTAATACGCATGCGTATAAGAAAAAACGTTCGCTCGCCTCTACTCAACACACCCCTCCTGCGAGCAACATTTTTTCAATACAAAAATGAAATACAAACAATATATAACACATTACATTAAGAAATTAAGGAAATTACTTTCAATGTATACATTAATTTTTCTTCACTGACCCTTAGTAAGAAAATCTGCAATCATATATCAGTTTGTGAATATTCCAACTTATAACATTGCCCTTTTGTTAAGTCCTTCATAAATGGAAACGTAAGTTCATGTGTCTGGATTTCGTAAAGATCTTGCACAGTTGATCCACTGGATGGCAGCTTGACTGTCTGTTTAAGACCACTGCACCATTCAAAAATTGGTTTATATTAATTCTGATAATAAATTTACAGTTCAATAATATCCTTACAACTTTCATGTATACATTAATTTTTCTTCACTGACACTCTTAGTAAGAAAATCTGCAATCATATTATCAGTTTGTGAATATTCCAATTAATAACATGCCCTTTGTTAAGTCCTTCATAAAATGGAAACGTAAGTTCATGTGTCTGGATTTCGTAGAAGATCTTGCACAGTTGATCCACTGGATGGCAGCTTGACTGTCTGTATTTAAGACCACTGCACCATTCAAAAATTGTTTATATTTTAATTCTGATAATAAATTTACAGTTCAAATAATATCCTTACAAATTTCAGAAATAGAAAATAATTCTGCTTCACAAGTAGACAGACTAACACTTCTCTGCTTACGACATTTCCAAGAAATCAATGAATCACTAATAAAATAGTACCACCAGAAAATGACTTACCATTTTCTGTATTTCCCCAGCTAGCATCAGCATATGCATTTAAAACTCCAAAATCATTGCTATAGAAAAGTTTTTTATTTTTTGTACCTTTTAAATATCTTGCTAACTGTACCAGCCCTTTTAGCCAAAAGATAATGCCTTTTTTCTGGTACATGATTAAATTGTGACAAATAAGTTGTTACAAATGATATATCAGGACGTGTTCTATTCGCTAAATGTAAAAGTTCCACAATTAATTCCTGATACAAAGTTGCATCAATTTTCTCATTTGTACATGAAAAACCTTTATCCGCCCCTTTAACGATTGGCATTTTTACTGCTTTACAATTTTCTAGATTGTGTTTAGTCAATAAGGATTCAATGTATTCAGTTTGAAGACAAACATATACCATTTTCAAGTTTTTCTATTTGCATTCCCAAAACTTTTGAATTGGTATTTTCATGTAACACAAATACATTTTTAATTTTGGAAACAATATTTTCAAGCATTTCTTTATTATTACAGAATACAGCTAAATCATCAATACAAACACAATATAAAAATGTTTTTGGTATCATTATAAATGATATACAATTATCAGATGCTAAACTGTACCAGCCCAAGTTTTTCTAATTCATTTTTTATTTTCAATACCAATTTCTACTGGATTGAGGCAACCCATAATACTTTTCTTCAATTTACATACTTTACCTTCTCCAATCAGTTTTTCAACCAGGTGGAGGAGTCATATACACATCCTCGTTTAAGTCACTGTACAAGTACGCTGTTTTTACATCATAAATTTAACAGTCAAGTTTAATTTAGCTGAAAGTGCAAGCCATAATCTAAAACATTCATGTTAACTACTGGTGAATATAATTCGGTATAATCCTTATTTTTTATTTGATTAACCTAGCCTAGCCGCTACTATAATCGTGCTTTATATTTTACTTCCCCAAAGTCTCCTCCTTCAAAGTATACACCCACTTACTTTTTACTAATTTTGTTTTTTTCAGGCCTCTCTACTATTTCCCACACTTCGTGTTTATGTAATGAATCTAATTAATTTTCCATTGCGGATTTCCAGTCATACCAATTAGCACTTTGTTTTGCTTCTGAAAAATCATTCGGAACATACTGATTATACTTGACGCTAGTTGTTTTGATCTGAGCCTCTCGGATCGTCTTAATGGTATTTCCTTTCCATATTTATTACTTTTTTCACAGCTATCAGTTGTTTGGACTTTACTCCCCCTGTCATCACCCCCGCTACAACGGCTTATGTCAGCGATTTCGAAATTCGATGAGTCATCATATTTTGCTGATATCCTTTTCTTTTCTTTCTCTAGCATATCTAACATTATCCCTCTTTTTCCCTGGTATGTCAAATTTGTTTCGCATCACTTTCGGAATGTGAAAGTATGCCACACATCCAAACCTTTTTAGATAGTTTTAATTTGGTTTTTTACCAGTCCAATTCTAAAGGAATTTTTCTTTTCCTTTCCGGGGTGTAAATTTGATACTTGAGTACTGCCCAGAATTTTACCGGAAGCTCACTCTCATGTAGTATGTCCTAGCTCTTTCTAAAATAACTCTGTTTGCCCGTTCAGCTTTCCCATTACTCTCACTGTTATATGGAATTGTTTTTTCCAAAAAATACCTGAATTAACAAGATAATTATCTAATTGTTGATTACAAATTCTAAACCATTGTCTGTTCTCAACGTTTAATTCTTTTACCAGTTAAATTTTTTAAAATTTACAAAATGCGGTCAAAACACTTCACTTTTAAGAAAATAAGTAAAATACATTGCAGAAAATTCATCCACTAAGATCAAAAATATTTAGACCCACCAATTGATTCAGTTTGAACAGGGCACATAGATCGGAATGAATTATTCTAAATTTCTGTACTCTGATTAATGTCAATATTTGGATGACTTTTTCTAGTTATTTTACTTATGTCACAAGTTCACACTTATAATCACTTACATCATTAATATCATGTATTCTTTCATTTTAAGCATATATTTTGGATTTAAATGGCACATCTACTACTATTGCCAAAGTTCATATAATTATTACCAGTACAATCATTAGCAATGCAAGATTCAGAATTATAATATGATTCTAAATTAACTTCAAGCCTACCTACCGTTATTCTTAAATGCTTTAAAAAGTAATTCATTCCCACTACTAAAAACTAATACAGAATTATTCCTTGATTCAATTTACATCCTTTATCCATTAGGCAGTGAGTGACAATAAGTTATTTCTTAAATCAAGAATATAACTAACATTACTAATAGTTAAATTAATAAAACTAGAATTCTTTGTATTTATAGCTTTGCTTTAACAGTACCAATACCTTCTGAATATATTTTTTGAGTGTTTACCTGCCTGGTAATTTCCCTCACCTCTGGTGTAATATTCTGAAACCAAAAGATGTCTTTTGCCATGTGTCGGTTCACCACTATCCAGCAACCAAATTTTATCACATTCATCATTTTTCTCACACGGTAAGTTGAAGAGCAAATCACTTTCTCTTTCATCAGAATGAGATGAACGTTCACACTCGTAGGTTGCACCTTCTTTCTGTCCTTGTTACCTTTGGATAACTCACATTTTTGAATTCTTGTTTCTGTAATAGCAGCCCTTCGCGATGTGACCAGGTCGTTGGCAATGTAAAAATTCTTGGCTTATAGTTTTTATTCCTTCTTGAATGAACGCCTCTGCGTTGTTCCATCAGGCGTTTCCCATTCGTTGAATTGTGAACGGACTCTTCCTCACGGAGTATTTCGAGTACTTCATCAATTGTTTTTTCACGCTGAGTTTTTACAATTTCCTAATTCGAGAGAATTTTCCACGAAGTCCACAGACTGTGTAAAACCACCAGTTCCCGAGGAGATACATCTAGTCCTAGCGATTGACACTTAGTTGCTATTCCTCTCGCTCTTGCGATATAATCATTAGCCGACTCATGCAACTTCATTTCTAAATTTTTTTAACTCATTACCAGCATCTATTTTTCGATCTTCGGCTTGTCCTGTAAATGTTGACTTTATTTTTTCCCAAAGAATTTATGCATTCTCTTCTGTGAAGAACTGAAATGCCTGTTGATCCAATAATGAAAGTTTTATATATGCTACGGCGTCAGCGTTTTTCTCATTCCACAATCTTTCATCTTTCTCGTCTAAATTTTCTAGTTTTACTGTTGAGATTACTGAGTCAAGTCTTTTCAGTGATAAGGCAACTTTAATTTTTAATGCCCAAATAAAATAGTTCTCTCCAGTTAATTCGGGAATGTTCCACTTCTCCATTTTTGGCTTCCACTAAGACAGTTTCGGTTTCGACTTGGTATTTTATATCCAATTCTTCTTGACAAAACCATGCAGCTGCTACCATTTGTTGTTCAGAGGCCAATACTTAGAGTAAAGAAGCCATCGATTTAGGACAACACACGCTCCATCTCCATACGCTCAAAGCTCGAATGATGGATCTGTCGGTAGAAGAGACAGCTGCGCCATCATAATTAATACGCATGCGTATAAGGAAAAACGTTCGCTCGCCTCTACCCAACACATTTCATGCTAGAAAACAAGATATTAGAAACTTTTGAACTCATTCAATAAGGGAAAAAATTATTCAAAACGTAGCTCCATATTTAAGCATTTTTTCAACTTGATCATCAACACACGAGGTTTATAAGAAATATCTCCTACAAGTTATGTGGCTCTAATGCTCTTCTCTAGTGAACCTTACACCAGCATTACCAGCAGATTACCTTACACTAGAACCTTACACCCAGCAGATTACCAGAACCTTACCATTGATTAGAAAGAAGCATTGAAGAGTTAATAGGAAAATTTCAATAATACTTAATAACAGATAGTTTTTCCCGATAATCGTTAACCAACAATAATAAATTTGTGGTCACTCCCCAAATATGACTGAGTATGTAACAAATCATCACATTTTCTCTTTGGATTATTGAAATATAAAACTGATATTAGTATATCTTTGTTGCCAAATTTAATGTTGGTTTTATTGAGTTCATGAAAATTGCACAGACTTTCCTGTCAGTTTTAGCTAAGTTTGAATTTAAACTTAGGACGCATTTCTTTCAAATTTCTAGGTAACAAAAACGGTATTTGTAATTCTAGGTATCTGTTACAAAAACGCTACTGAAGATGAAATCGTAACACTATTTACAGATATGCTTCTAAAAGTATGGGCATGAAATGAAGACTGGAGAAAATAGCGTTTGTCTTGAAAGTTACGTTTAAATAACAAATATCATTCAGAGTTTTAAACACATGAGCTACTCTGAAGAGATTCTTGAATAAGTAACTAAAATCGCTTTTGTTTATAAATGTGTTCAATTTTATGCATTTATTTATTCAAAAATCAATTTTTCTCAAGCAGTTTAAATGCCTGCGAAAATCGTGTGGTTTATAGTAAAAATAGGATGCATATTAATAATACTGCAGCTACAAAAAATTTAAGTGTGTAAAATTTAATAATTGACAAATTTATTCTTAGTGATATATTTTTCTCCTCCTCCTCTACCTCTTTTTCTTTTCTTTTCTTTTCCTTTCCTGTTCTCGCTTGAAAAGATGGCCATGATTCCTTTTAGAGCTTTGAAAATATTTTGTTCTTTATTTTTCTTATTTAAATTACTTCATGATGGTGATTCTAAAAGCTTAGATTCAGATAGAAAAATTTCTTATATCTTGCTAAAATTATTTAATACTGAGATTTAGCACTGTTCATAAAACGTGGAAATGACCCATCAGTGTTAACCCCCACAGTGTACAGCATTGTTAGCCATAAAAGGATTTACTTTTGTTACCACTTAAGCCTATGTTTATGAATCTTACTGCATCCATTAATGTTTGCTTAGTTGCCATATCTGAAAAATTAATGACCAGGTTATGAGCCAATGTCGTCTTTTACGTACTCAACAATAAAAATATAATGATTTTATTTCTGTGCTGTTAGAATATGAAATTCGTATAGGGAAAACAATGCATTTCGAGGTGAAGAAAATGATCTTAATTTGATAGTTTTTCTAAATAATAAATTTTTACATGATATGTGTTTCTTTTTCTTAATCTAGGCGAAATAATATTCAACATGTAATAACAGCATAAGACCCACAAAAGAAGTGTTCCAGTCAAATTCAGTTTTTAAATGCTGTTTAAATTTGCTTCATTGAAAGTTTTTGTATATAAATAATTACGATAAATTAAAATGAACTGTTTTTTTAAGTATTTACAGTTAATCAAGTAACATAATATTTTTTATTGAAATAAAAATTACTTTTAATGTGCAAGATTACTTCTCTTACAACGCTGGGCTCATGGTTCTTAAATCCTCTTGTTCTTGAGTTCAGAAACCTTCGTTATTAAAATTATTCGAATAGTTTAACTTTTATATAGTTTCATTTTCAACCATATGAAAGTTAAAATGAAAAACACTACTTTTACGTAAATTTTAATATATGTAATAATTTTATTTTTTTAGAAATAGTTCAGTAGTTTTACTTTTAAACAATGAATTTGCTTTGATATAACAGACATGTTTAATTAGTTCATCAAAAAGTTGTTAGAGACACTATCAAAACAGGAACTAGCATATTTTTCTACTCAGCAGTTTTACTGCAAAACCGTGAATTAGCCCTTTAAAAATGGTTAAGAAATATTTAATTTCTTTCGTTTTCCAGTTATTGAAATTTTAACTAAATCCTAAGATAAAATGTTATACAAGAACTAGACTAAAGAAATGCAAGAAAGAGGTTAACTTCAGCTACAAGCAGAATTTCAGATATTGTTATTTTCTAGTAATTAACAAAAAAACATTTAAAATCCTCTTTAATTTATTCTTGACCAACCTTTAATTGCCCTCCTGCCACCCCTTCTCTTCTGAGGCCGTTCTTTGGCACCCCAGGTTCGATAGGGAATAAAGCAAATAAGCAAGGCTCTCCTCTCTTTAACCGCTTTTTCACACAGCTGGGGCCAAAAGAAAAGGAACACAATGGTTTCCCGTCTGAATAGACAGTGTCCAGTTAGAAAACAGCATGACAAAAGCCCACAAGAAGGATGCCCACTTAAAAAAGCACACTTTTTTAGGAAATCCAAAAAAGCTTTGACTGCCAGAAAAATTTCATGAGTAATAATTATTATGATTAAAAATGAAATTTCAAGTGGGAATGAAATTAATTTATGTAAAATCCAAGTAGTCAAAATTTAACTAAATTATTTGAAACTGTGCTTTTAAATTCACCATTAAAACAGCGTTTGTGATAGCGCACACAAATGTTTTCTTAATCATAATAGAATATGGTACTTTTACTTTTTTCGTTGAAATGAAAGTTCGGCTTTTAATTCTCCATATTAAATTCTTATTCATAAATTATTCTCTGTATAGGATGAAAGTTTACATACATATTAAGACTCCTTATAAGTCCTGTAGAATTAAACGAAGCTGTGGCCAGTACAGTCAAAAGTCGTTAATTCAGACACCCATAATCCGGACCTCAAAGCTACAAACTTTCTGTGCATGCGTCGCGTTCACGCATGCGCACAGGCGTTTACGAGAGCGCATAAGACCCTTATAGCTGCGAATATGTTTGTGCGCATGCACGTTTAATGTGTAACGGAGTTATACGCTAAGCTAAAGTTATCTAATTCAGTTAATGTTGCAGATTGCGTTGTTCCTTAATCTTCGAATTGGATCCGGCTTATTATTTTTTGCAGACTGTTAGAGCAATTTTATAAAAGTAAGCTTGAACTTTCGATTATGTCAAATAGAATTTCCGATATATATTTACTACAAAGCGAAAGTATGTTTTGAAATCCGAAATCTGTTTATCAATTTCACGCTGCTCTGCGGCAGAGGGGGGGCAGAAACGTCATTATTAGATTATGATAGATTAGAAAGATTATGTCAAAGCGGAACTTTGTAACTAAACAAGAAATTATGTCTGTTTAATAGAATTAAAGAGAAAGTATTATCACATGAAACGAAGCAACTTACATTGAAGGAAATGTTTAATAAAGTAAACAAATAAATATTAAGCTTTTTCTTTTTGTAAATTTTGATACCCTTTAGATCATAAATGTTCTTTATTTCATAAATTACGGTTTCATATTTTTAATTTTGTAATTTCTGCATGCCATCTTACAAGATTTAAACTGATGATCTATAATCCGGAAAAATCGATAATCTGGAATCGCCGAAGTCCCGACGAGTCCGGATTAATGACTTTTGACTGTATTAACTTTCACCTCCCTTTGTCGGACTTATATGAGGGCACTTCCTTTTGCCGTGTAAATATAAAAGCAAAGTTACACATACATGTAGATGTTTTAAATTATATTATTTTGATTGACTCTCTGTTCTGTATACATATAGGATTTTAATTCAGCCAGAACCCAAAATAAAATGCATTCCGTTACTTAAATTTATTGTTCAATTATTTGTTATTAATTTATTTTTTATTTTATCTTTATTCATGAATCTGCTTTGTGAAGCTGAAGAAAAAAGTGAAAAATATTAATTTTAATGCAGCATATATATCACTGTGGGTTTTGGTCAGTGTGAGCCCACATAATACATAATTAAATATTATGTGGGCTTTTATCAATGTGCGCTTTCATTGGTGTGGGTATTAGTAGCATGGGCAATTATCTCAGTGGGGTCTTTTTTGTGGGCTTTTGTCGCGTGCAATTTTGTCCTGTGGGCTTTTGTCTAATTCACACTCATTTGGCCATTTTGGCAGTCCTAAATACAGACAAATTTCAGATGATTAAAATTAAGGACCTTCTGCCGATTTTGGCCAAAATTATGGACCAAAAATTGATTTAAAAAAAACTAAAGGACTTTTAACAACTCTTAAGGACCATACGAACCCTGCGGCTAAAAAGACAACTTATAAGCTGCTGATACAGTATTACAGTTTTAAAGGCATAAGCATATAGCAGAATATTTTAATGCATCAAGAATAAATAAAATGAAACAGATCACATAACTAAAATATAAAACATAGAAAAAGAAAATACACTGAATTACCTGCATTGTTTTCTTTGCTTTCTTTAACAATGCTTGTTACAATGGTTGCTAAATCACCTGTGACAGGGTTTCTTAATTGCTCACTGAGTACATTCTTAAATTTAAGAATTGATTTCAATATTCTGTGCAAATCATCCGATACAGTATTTTTTAGGAAATCTTCCAGTTTAGTGTCCAACCAGTGATCCAGAAATTTATATTGTTCAATAGAACATGATTGAAACATAATTCGCATTATACATATAAATTTTCTTATCTCAAATTCAATCGACTCCAAGGGAGGTATATCAGGCACTGGATAAGGAGAGAATTTTGGCTTCCAATTAATACCCTCTTTAAGTCTTTTCAACCTAAAACAATATCATTATTATTTTGATCCAAACAAAAATAAAACTGAGAAAACTTTCAGGTATTCATATTAACTGTAGCAAATATGCATCTGATAAGAAAATTATTAAATATTCTTTAAAGAGAGAGGAAGAGAGAGGGGGAAAAATAACGACTTATCAGATTTTCATGTATTACAGTTTTTTAATTTTAGAGGGTGGCCCATGCAATAAATCATGAAATTTTGCAATCTAGGATTTAAATGCAGAAGATTTATGTTAACTCTTCTAAAAATATACTTTATGAAAAGGATTAATACAAATAATTACTACATAATCAATTATTAATGTTACAGTTTGCCACTTCTAAAATTTTGTTGCACTGGAAGAGAAATCAAATTCAATTGATTTTCATATTCAGATTTAGACTAAAAAGCAAATAATTCTTCACCAACTAAAATAAATCTAAGGATTTGAATGATCATGATCAAACTCGCTATATTTCTGAAGAAAAAAAGATGTTTTTCTGAGAAAACTGAAACATTTGATCTGCAAAATAATAATAATCATGATTTTTTTATTTTTCATAACAAATGGACAGAGCTCAAGTCAAAAGTAATTCAAGATTCTGGTCTTTAGGATTAGATTTACTTTGCAAAAATTTTAATGAAATATTTTCACATTACTTGAGTATGAAAAATACAATTAGAGGTATAACAGAATTTTTAATACAAAGAGAAAACAATCACAAAATTCCCAGAAATCTCAGATACGCTCGATACTGGTGAAATCATAGAAAATGGTCTGAAATTTGAGCTGAGATAAAATTAATAGCTTAATAACAGCCATTCATTTTCTGAACAAGAAGCACAGTTTACTTGATTGCTGCAAAATGTGAACATACAGAAGATATTAAGATTTCTCTGAGAAATGTCGAACTCTTACACATATAATTGCTAGAGAATGTTTTGAACACTGTTCAAACTACAACCTGCATGTATACAAGAATTCTATGGCCAGTAATTATTCCAAAAAAATTCAATTAATTTACACTTATACATACCTTACTTGTAATTGTAAGAATTATCTTGTTTTTACAATTTATAAATTCTTAAGCAAAAATAAAAATAAAATTCTATGTAAAAATAAAATTGCATTTATACTGGAGCATCTAATGATGAAATGTAAAATTATGCTCCGTAATTATACCGAGTTGGGGAGTAAATTTTAAAATAACATACACTTTTGTTCCTAAAGCCTTCAAAAAAATATTACTAGAATAATTCAGATCTGCAAGTAAATTACATATTTTGATAAAAAAGTATTAATATGATATCTAGATTTTAAGTGTAAGCACATGCGTTTTAGTTTAAAATGGCAAGAAATATTCACACTTTCATAAAAGGTTGCAAAATAAAGCAAATACTTTATAATTTGAAGTGAGATAAAATGTAAATAATGAATTAAAGATTTTAATATTATCATCCAAAATTTATGAAAGAAAATGAAAAACTTACTCTTTTAAGCAATCTTTGAAATGTTTAAAAAAATATACTATCATTAAACCTTGCTTCCTGACAGAAGCAAGAAATGCATTTTGACGATAATCCAGGGAAGTTGGCAACAAACTAGTTAATGGGATACCTTCATCTACAGTAAGTCTTGGAAGTTTCTCCATCACCTCTTGAATTATAGATACAGCAACCTAGGTAACATCACAATAATGAAACAAATTACGACAGTTATGAATGAAAGTGGAAAATTTGTACAAGCAATGAAATTGGATTACTGGTTTAAGAGGGAAAAGACAAACAAAAGCATCAAGGATTATGAGGTTAGTTCAAATAGGGTCAGAAAATTTTTGAAAGCAGAAAAAATTATCAAGTGATTTGATAACTGATCGGATATGAAAGGATTAAGAAAATTTAAAGTGCATAATGTTTATCTGCTCTCTATTAAAAAAAAAACAAAAATAAAGCAACAGCATTGATTCAACTGCTGTTATATCTGGATTACTAATTATGAAGATGTTTTACTAGTTCTAGGAAAACTTTTTTATAGAGCATATAAGTATTAGTTACAAAATTCCTAAATTTACAATAATATTCTAAAAGTTGTTTAATTTAGAAACTTGAACTAACTGCCACAAATTCATTTTAAAAATACATGATTTTTGCTGCAATAACTTTTCATATGACCTACTCTAAAAAAATAATTAAAAATTTTAATTATACTCTCCTGAAATTCATTTACCTGGAAATGTATTTTATAAGTGTTTGCAGCAATAGCTTAGGTTAAGTGATTTATTACCACAATGCATTAAAGGGCCATCTAAGCCAACAAGGATGTCTTTCTAGAAGACTATTAAAAAAAATTTGGCTTATATTCACTTTACACATATATGAAAGTATAAAAAGCAATCTATACAGAAGCCATTACTAGTCTTATCGCTACTATTGCCTGGGATTAAAGTAGAAAAATTTTTGTGCAAATAATTATAGCAAATAGCATCTAATATATTTATATGCAGATCTTCTTTCAGCCACATTAACTCAAATATAAAAAGTTTTCCTTTAATAAATTTATTTATTTTATTTCCAACATTCACATATATCTCTCTTTCCATTATGGGTTAGTGTTATAAAAGAACTAAAAAGGTTATGATTTTAGAGATCAATATAAAGAATGCACATCTAAACAATAATGATAATAATGAGGCACATCTTTTCCTATCGATCGTTTTCGATAAAGAAAAACTGTCAGCTAATAGTGTAATTTAACACCTATACTGCATAAGCATGATGTCACAACACACTCATAAGATCTTCACTCTGATTTTACATAATCCGGATCTTCAGTAAGACAATTTAATTTTTGTAGAGAAGGATGAATGTTAATTGCCATTTCCCTTTCACTCGGAGGAAGTGACCAAAATTTTAGATCAGTCTTCTACAGAATAGCAAACAGCATATTTTAAACTCACTAGACTGATTATATTGGTATGCACAGTCAACACATTAAAAGATGCTGAGATTCAGCAAAATGCACAAAAAAAAAAAAAAAAAAACACTCTGCAACTTAGTGATCCCAATAAAAATTCTATTTAAGGATTTTTTTTTTCCTTTCTTTTAGAGGAGACTAAAATTTGAGATCTGTCTTCTACTGAATAGCAAAGAGCTGAGTATTTTTATTAGACTGATTATATTGGTATGCACAGTCAAAACATTAAAAGACTCTGAGGTTTAGCAAAATGCTGCTGAAAAAAACACTGCAGCACAGTGATTCAACTAAGATTTCTATCCATGGAAATTTTTATTTGCTGATTCACAAAAAAAAAAAAAAAAAAAAAAAAAAGATTATTTTTTGTATTTTAAATGCCATTAGAAAATTATGGTTGCCAGAATGACTTACAAAAGTATTAATGCTAATTTTGGGAGATCATTACAAAATTCAGTTTATAATAATTATTTAGTTAGAATTTATTAGTTTACAATTATTAAGTTTTTTATATGCTATATTTGTAATTTTCATTACCTGATAATCTAATTAAATAAAAATGAATCTGTTTTTATCTAATGAAATAAAGAATGCTCTGTTCCATCGAAACTTTTATTTCAAGATTGGCCTAAATTTGACAAGAAATCTGCCATTTCTCAGGATCAACACAAAAAATACTCAAGCACTACTAATAATAATGTGTCTTTTAATTTAAGAAAAACTAATGAAAAAAAAATGCAGGAGAAATTTAGCAATCAATACTTCTTTCATTGTAATACTAGTCAAAATTACGCATAAAATTTTCTTGAATACGCATACCATTTCAAAAATTAATATAAAAATTACCATACCTGGCGGGATGTTACATTTAAATTGTTCTTCACATATACTAATTCAGCAACTTTTGATAAACACATATGAGCATCTTCATGTTTTTGAAGCAACTGTACACACAAGGCTGAAGCACTTATGAAATCAGACAAACTTGGATCTTCTGCAAATTTAAAAATAATTTTTGATAAAATCACTTTGATAACAATACAGAATTCTACCACTTAAAAAAAAAAAGGCTAACTAAAATAAAGTTTTCTTAACAAATAAAACTACCTGCTTTCAAAAATAACAAATTAAAAAAATAAAGCCATTTAAAACAAAAATTACAAAAATTAAAAAAAAAAAAAAAAAAGATATAAAGAATTTGCTGCAGAATAAATTACTTCATCATTAAACATATAAATTTTCTTTGCTTAAAATTAATTAGAAAATAGATAGATATACATGGGTATATTTTTAAAGTACAAAAATTGGCACAATTTGTTTTACTACTTACCATATTCTGAACAATCGGTCAATCTTTGATGAATATCATATAAATAAAATATCATCCCAGAGTGAACTAAACCCTGACATTGAGAAAAGGCAACCATGTCAAACAAATCCTTTTCTTCATGAAGATTAGATGAAACAGGCTGTACATATGGGGGGGGGAATACAAAAATTTGTTTATTTGTCATGTGCTATTATTAGATAATTTTATTTGAGATTAAAAATTAACAGAAATACTAAATGCGAGTATGTATATAATTTATCACCTCTAAATATATCTCTATTCCTCTGTTACGCATAGCTCTGGATATTTCTCCATTTCTAGGATTCATTGTAAGAATTATTCTGAGAATAAAACAAAAGATTAGAAATTAATGACTAAAAGAAATCTGTTTTGCAAAACTGCAACAAGAATTTAAAAATTTATAAATAAATAAATTTCATCTAAAATCTAATAAAATGAAATGATAAAAATTTGCTATGATAAAATGATAAAATATGAGATCTACTGCTTTTATCTGGTTGTAATGAAAGTTTTGCACCCAAAAATTTTCTTAATAAAGTTAGGAGGGGAAACCATGAAAGCAGTACCTTTAGTGGGGCTAGTAATCACCAACCAAATTGATAATTTTCTGCCAACATTTTGGTAGTTTTTCAAAGCTCAGAAACACGGTGGTCACAAGTCCAAAAACAGATCAACCTAATTGTGGATGCCGTGCGCAGAATGATAGCACCAGGAAGATATAGCTGCAGATGTGAAAAAAGGTAGAAGTCTGAAGGAGTGATGACATGGCTATATGGTGGGGTTTGGAAAAAGATCCCATTCGAAACCGTACAGGGTCCGTACAGCGATGCAGACACGTGTGGTCTTGCATTATCTTGATGGAATATTCCTTTTTTGCAACGGAACTCAGTTCGATGTTTTACCTTGATAGCAGCATCAACATGGACTAGCATCTCGCTATACACCTTACTCTCGAGTATTTTACCTTTCCTTTGTGGATACATTCTGGTGGGATTACTATGACAGTCTCATCAGACACAAAGCATGATCTTTTTGCTAGTCAAATTGCACTTTGTGACACTGCGGATGGGTTCACCAAATGCAGACCAACCCCCTTTTTGGCCCGTGTTGTTGAAGTAAATCCACTTTTCATCACAAGTGATAATCTAGTCCAGAATTTTGTCCTTGGGCTGATATTCAAGCAGCATTACTTAATGATGATATTTTTTTTACAAATTTCTTGACACATTGTTCTACAATGAGTTTCTTTCTTTCAAATGCCAGAAATCGTTTGACAAAATATGATTGAACATGAACTGTTTGCACAAATGATATTTGCGGTGGCGGAAAACTTTCGGTAAAACTCTATATTTTAAAATTATTTTAACAACATACAAAGTAAACAGTGTTGATCCAAGGTGAAAATATATTAATGAGATAAAATAGGGAAATTTTGAGTAGAAGTTAAAAAAAAAATCCCTTAAAGAGGTATATATCTACCAATAAAATTACTTTAAAGTATATTATGCACTCTTAAATGAAAATAAAAAATAAATTAGTAAATACACAGTTTCTATCCTTACTGCTAAGGTTTACAAAAGAACCTAGCAGTAAGGATTTTCCTAAATTAAAACCTCTATGGTAATTCTGTTATTACCAATGCGAACGGTTTGCACAGACGATATTTGCAGTAGTGGAGAACTTTTGCTAAAACCCGATACTTATTTAGTTTTTATATGGTGCCAATACAACTGAATGCTGTTCTAATATTTTTTTTGAACTGCTATTTTTTCACATGTTAGAATATGAAAGATACAGAATTTTCCATTTAATGAAGCTATTATTATTGATTTATGAAACTGCTGAAATTTATATCATAAACATAATTTTTCTCCCCATGTACACAAATTTTTACTGTTTTCCCTTTAAAAACTTTACAGAACTGCACCATTTTGATATTGCGCACATTAAATATTATTTATATTACCTGATGCATTATTGTTGTTCTTTCCCTGTACAACTTGTTTGCACTTTAAAAACTTAATTTGGTGCACAGTCTCACATTGCACATATATATAATATTATATGCATTGTTGTTTTGCTCCCCATGTATACAGTAGTCTGTTTTTGTTTCAAAACATTGCTGATTAGTACAAACTCGGCATGCACGCATTAAACATTCCATATATTATGTGATACATTACTGTTGTTCTCTTCATGCACACAGTGATCTGCTTTTATTTAAAAACATCAGAAATTTGAAAAATAATGAAATCAATGAGTTTGGTGGGCTCTTATTCTTCACTTTAGCCAATTTAAATTTCAACACTTTCATAATTCAATAATAATAGCTTCATAAAGTATATTTAAAAAAAAATCTGAAGGCTTTCAGATTTTATATTATGCCCAAAAGGGCATTTTTTAACATTTTGTGTGTTACTTTTATTTATTAAATATCATGTTCTTTGCACTTAAACGACATAAAAATCATTTTGACGGCAATATCACAAAATATTTAAAAACAGCATATCTTTACAATTTCCGACAGGTAGTCTCATGAGCTGGAGATAATAATGTTTTTTTCTGTACAGTGTTGCCATTGCTCACTTTGAAATCATCGAGTTTGTTAATAAAAAAATCATTAAAGTTTTACAGACTAATAGCTCTTCTGGGCTTCTGGAATTAAAATCATTAGAAACTACCAACAAAGTTACTGGCACATTCAATACACTGGATTTCTAAATTCTAGAAGTTTTTTAATTTTTCTAAAAGTCATTTCTAAATATGGAGGTTTTTGGAAGTGCTCTTGCATTGCAGCAGATGCAGCTAAAGCTGTGGTTGGTCATATAACTATATTAATAGGCCTTTGTAAAGAAAAAAGGGTATACATTGTTTGTTTTTTCACTGCATTAGCCACCAGGATGCTATCTGTAGAAAAATTGTAGATCTCAGTAAGACAGTGAAAATTACTGTAAATACTTCAAATTTAATCAAAGAAGGCAGTAAAAGACAAAGAGAATTTATTGCATTCTTGGACAGTCAGGAAGCTGAATACAGTGTCATTTCATTATATTGTGAACTGAACTGGGTAAGCGTTGGGAATTGCAAACAATGGATTTTTTTAAGGGGAGGGGACGAAATTTTTGCTTTTCTAAAAAAAGGGGGGGCAGGGGCATAAGTATCAAGAAAAACTGGAAGAAACCCAATTTTTAAATAATCTTGTTTTCCTGACAGATTTAATATCTCATTTAAATGAAAACATGAAACTACATAGCAGAAAACAAAATATTTCTTAGCTTTATGGACATATATTCAGGATTTCTGCAAAAAACTTGATGTAATGAAAACTCCACTTAAGGCAAATAATGCAGCACTCTTCCCATCTTGTCAGCAGTTGAAAGAAGAAGAAAATGACACAAATTTCAGCATATTTCATGATTTACTTGATTCATATCAAGAAAGAATTCCAGGACAGATTCTAGGATTTTTATTCCATAAAACCAAAACTTGCACAGTTGAACAACTCCTTGGAGACTGAAGAGAGTGAGGTGCACTGTAACTTTCAGGTGGAAATTTGTATCTTCATGCAGACCAATTCTTCCAGACTGAAAAGTATGATATCTCTGAAAATTTCTGGAAACTGATTTCTAAAGAGCATTTCTCTGAATTAAATTTTCTATGCAAATGTTGTCACTGTCTGGCAGTACATATGCGTGTGAAAGTTCTTTTTCTGCAACACTGTTGCAAAAACATTAAATGTTTTCCTTTTTGTAAAAAATTATAACAATGTTGTAATTTACTTGTAAAAAATAAATTACAACATGTTGTAATTTTTTACAGAAAGATATTAAATAAACTTTCAGTCACATATGCTTATTATCATTATGTGTGCCAACAGTACTCAAGATTTTTGGCACATTTTATTTACAAGATGATGAGTTTTACATTTTATTACTACATAAAGTGTGGCCACAGAAGTCCTCATCTGGCCCTTTCTTTTCACAACCATTGAACCTAGACATAAAATATATACTTATACAAAGTAACAAAATATTTTAAATGGCACAAAGCTTTAAAAAGTTTTAACTTTTCAAATATTTCTTCGTTATGAGTTTCTTCATATGAGTTCATAATGGATTGAATGCACACAGAACTGATGACAGCTTGATAAAATTTATTCCCCCCCTAAAAAAGAAAAAAAAAAACTCTTTAAAGTTTTGGGAGTTTCTACAGAATATTTGCATAGCTCTTCTCAGTAGGATGCAACACAGCCATTAGTTACCACATATACTACTAATAATGTTAAACACAATGGCAATCAGAAGCACATTCAAAGAACGAAGCTTGCACAGTACTCAGCTAAAAACTGAGTCTAATGTTCTCTCCAGTCTTATATGGATTAACTTTAGTAAATTTAAACAAAAAAAAGGGGGTATAACTTACATGAAATTTTTTAAATTAAACATTTAGTTTTACTTAGTTACATTTATTAAGCATCCCCACACTTCAAATCAAATATTTTAACATCTCATATCTATAAATCTCCTGAAAGTCAATCTAAAGAAGATTTTCAGTAAATTCGGTAGCTTATTTTATTTATTTATACCAGTATCTTTTAAGTAAATAAACATGTTTCTTATTTTTCAAAGCCCATTGAAATTATTTTTTAATTAAACTATTTCAGCAGCTTAAATTCATAGTATTGCTGCTTTAATTTGCTATATAAAACTTTTATCCATTGAGATAGAAATAAATATTTTAATTTATTAAATAGTATGAGAGACTTAAAACATTTCTTGATGTATTTATGTATTTCTTTAATCAATATAAAACCAACAAAAAAAGTTTATTAAAAAAAATAGAAATATTAAATTTACCATAACTCATACAAACATTTATCAATTATTATAAAATGTAGCATAACTGTACCTGAAATTTTGATGAGGACAAACGTCTCGCAGTGCACCATCAATGGCACCTTGCTCATTAATTGTGAGAAAACCATTCGGTTCCAAAAGAGCATTCAGTCGGTCCAAAACAGAGGGACTTTTTTTAAAAAAATAAAGCATTATATTAAAAATTGATAGACCAAAAAATAATTATTAGTGATATTACTTCCATTAGAGCCACACATTATGAAAATCACAGCTTATTTCCAAGAAAAGGTATTAAAATCATGTTAACGTATTTTCCACAGCTACTGTAATTCTGCAACATCTCGGAAAGACATTCTGTTACACATCAGTATCCAACCATCAGAAATGTGTTACAGTTTACTACAACAATATTAGGTTAATTGCAATGTTAACTAATGAATTCAGCTATTACTATTCACCTTCCTAACAATAAATATTTAAGAGGCGAAGCTCAGAACTCGGGATATTTATATTCATACACATCTCCATATTCTAGTTTCGCACAAAACACATTACAATTTCCGTGCTGATATATGATGACAGTTTGTTTATGAAACCTCAGCTATAGAAATTGAAAGTGCTGTGAATGCAGGTGAAAATCTAAATACAAATTATACAGTATCTGAACAAAACACACTATAGTTGGATATGCCTATGAAACTTTATAGTTAACGTCATACTGAAGTAAAATGCTTCCTCTAAAACAATTTACCACTTCAGAAAGTACATTTCTGTAGCCCAACAGTTTAGTGACACTAAAATTTTGACAAATAAATAATGAATATTAGTTTTATTTTTCCGATTATAAATACCAGTATCTGTCTACATCATTACGGTGCAAAAAAAAGAACATCCATTTTTGACCCTTTAATACAACCAGGTGATGAGTCAGGTCAATGAGTTCAGCCATTTAGGTTCTTTAAAAGTGTTCTGCATTTAATATGTATGAACAATCAAGGTGATTAACATACACAAATAAGAAAAGCAGTTTATATTTCCATCGTGCTGACTAAGTAACACAACTGGTCTACTAATACAATGCAATTTATAATATTTGGAAGTAAGAAAAAGTTACATCATTGCTTTTTTCTTACTTTTTATCATTAAATACATACACACTCATATGCAGGCTGATTTGCTGATTGAAGGCTCCCACACATGAGAAGTAAGCTTCATCCACGAACAATACGGATGCAGCGAATGTGCTGTCTGTAGCACTCTGTTGCAGGAGCCATGTAGCAAACATCCTCCAGGCTCTAATAACTGGATGCTATAAAGATAGTATGCACTTATTTGGTTTGCTGCGAGTATCCTCTACACAGTGGATTGAGATAAACCCATTTGCTGGGATATCGTTTGAGTATTGTACTTGGATTGTCTTCTGTGAGATGTAAGACCGCATCCTCATTGCCAGGTGTGCTTACCATTCACTGTCAATTCATTGTAGCTCTCGTTAAACAGTCTCATGTAACCTTCTGTTCATACTTGCGAAGGAGATGTGATGTGGAGCCTGCCTGTTCAAGTAACGTTCCTCGTACAACCGTCAAGCAACACTTGCCTGTTACAATCCGCAGATCTATACATGATCAGCATGTAAACCAGTTCGTTTGAATATGCGTTCATCCTACTACCTTGGGAAATGGATCACAAATAACGACTTCCAGCAGAATTGTTGTTCATGCAACCTTCTGCTCAGCACCATCTACTGCAAGACTGTCGAGAGGAATCTTTCAGAAGTAAGGAATTCCATGCAGCTGTGCTGTGAGGCCTGCCAGGTGACTTCTGGTCATAATTTTGAACTTTTCAATAAAATGTTTTCTGTGCCATTAATATGCTGCAGTTTCTGTTCTTTTCCTCTGCTTCTTTACACCATAGCTCGCAACTATGACATTTGCGACCCTGCATTCCTATGTGATTCCCAGTCGTCTCTGAACCCCCACATACACCCAGCAAGTTTGTTGGTCTGGTAGCGAAACAACCTGTACATGTATACAACCTGTACATATATATATATATATATATATAATAATTTATTTCCTAAACAGTATTGATTAATTGATTATATTATCTCCTAAGTTTAATTAAAGTAGAATTATTTTAAAAGTGTGCATCCATACTGGTAAGTTATATTTTGAAAGATATATTTACATATTTTTATCAATTATTGATCATTGAACGGGAGTTGGTTTGTTCCCCTTGAAAAGTCAACTAATTTCCGATCAATGACAATAATTACATGTTTTAATTTTTACTTTTACAATTGTAATATTATTCTTCGTGATGATTTAACTCCAGTCCCCGTTAAAACATTATTAACATTTTGCTTTCAAATTACTTCAAAACATCTTTCAAAATATAACTTACCAGTATGGATGCACACTTTTAAAATAATTCTACTTTAATTAAACTTAGGAGATAATATAATCAATTAATCAATACTGTTTAGGAAAATAAATTATTATTAACTAACTTTGCAGCAATTGCGCAAGTAATAATAACTTGTATTCGCACTAAATGGATTTAAGTTCATACAAATATATATATATATATATAAATGAAACATGCTTAGATATTCTTTTATTACACAGTTTTACTAAAATAATATTGGCTTTCAATATAATATACTTATCTTTTATTACATTATGACATACACAAATTTAAAGCAAAAATCAATGTAAAATAAAAACAAATCATTAGCTGCGTTCACATCCCTGGAACAGGATTTAAGCCCTAGCTAGTCAGGGAAAGTAAAATTGCCCATGCATGAATCTGAAGTTTATGTAAGTGAAATCATCAAATGAATATCAGTTTGTGCTTCCTTTGCTGTCACTGGATGATGCTTATACCAGGTAGTGTAAAGATGAACAATTAGAACATTTACACAAAAATCCATAAACAAATTTCTATAGCATACCAAAAGTTAGCTGCCTAGCAATAGAAGTAAAACATCTGACAGTGGTCTCAAAACTCAAACTACGTGAGGACCAAATGCATAATCTTGGAAACAGTTGATAGCAATATGACAAATTTTATTAATAAAACGAAAAATTTTTTAAACATATTTAAAATATTTCTTACTGAATTTTTGTCAAAACACAGATAAACAATAATAATATAACAAACAAACAAAAATAAAATAAATAAAATTTATGGTAATTTTATATCTGAAATCTATTGCCTGGTACACTGTGCAACTCAAAAATACTGAGAGCAAAATATTAAGTTCTTGGACAGATATTTCTTTCAAATAATTCTAACAACTCTAGTTAATCATTACATAACTTACATTAATCAAAACTAGAAACGAATGAGTAAACTTTCTAAGTTATCAGAGAAAATTCACCAAGCAGAAGAAAATTTGAATATAAATAATAATGAGCTAGTCTTCTTTATTTCTTACTATAGCTTGATACTTGATGATATCTCAATTCTGATAACGTTTGTATCCCTGGGCAGCAACTGCTAGAAATTATTGTCATCATGGATTGTAGATGCTGACCAGTGAATAAGAATTTTTCCTTATTAATTTTAAAATATGAAAAAAAAACCTGTTCACATATAAATGTATTCTCAAACAAAGCAACTATTTAGTGCAAATATTCATAACTGAGCTTATTTTTCATTGAAAAGTACAAATAAAAGTTAAGAAAGACTATATTTTCAAATCTTTGAATAAAATTTATGACACCATCAATTAATTAGCTTCATTTACAGATTTTCTGATGCATTACTAATGTCTGGTTTTATTGAAAAGGAATATAGTATAAACTTAAATTTCAAATAAATTAGCCTTGAAATTCTTTTGAGCACCACCTCTGCAACAATATACAATTGAGATGCACAAAAGTGCTTTGGAGGCTGCATGCAGCCCACAGGCTGCCAGTTTGTGGCCACTGGCTTATGCCATTTCTGACCATAAAGCTGTTGTCTGAAAGTTTCATTCTTTTAATGATGCAGGTATTTACATAATGCTTTAGTCAATAATATATTTAAATTTATGATAAATCAACTAATTAAAAATGAAGCTCAACTAAAACTGAATAAATCTTATTTAGACCTTTGAGATAGCATTCACACCTTTCTTTTCTGTTTCCCTCTCCAGCTAACTTCAAGTCAATGTTTGTCATTGAGAACATTTTTGCAATTTCTTTCTTCAGATTTAAAAAGTGTAAAATGTATCAGTACAACTACTAACAAAACAAGGCACTCTTTGCTCAGGTTTAGCTGTGTTTAAATAAAAAATGAGATACCAACAATAAAAGAACATATTCAACCTACTATGATTGTTGCTATCATCATTACGCATCATAGTTGGATTAACCATTAAACACATGCTTAGGAAATCAAAGAGAGGAGGCACCACAAAATTCTTTTAAGTGCTTAGGGCTTCTAAAGGTATTAATCTAGCCCTAATTTGAATTAATCGATTATCGTAAAAACTATTAAGCTATCGAAATTTATTGTTATATTTTTCTGCATAACTGATCGAAATTTTACTTTGAATAAATTTATCAAAACTAAACTAGTATTTGTAACATCCCAAATGGAAATTTTCTCTGATATATACCAATTCTTTCACAAAAATTTTGATATTCCTTCAAGTTTAAAATAGTGACAATATTCCTCATGATATTTTGGTACATCTTATCACCAATAAAATAAATTACATAAAATGTGCATAGAATTTTGTAACAAATTGATTTTATCAAGGTAAATGACTATGTTCTATCATTCCTATATACCATCAACTAAAATAAAAAAAAATAATGACTTTAAAAGGTTCAGCATAATCCACACAAATTTATTAATTCTTTGAATAAGTTCTCCAATGAATCAATATGCTTGGAATTTTTCTCAAGTTTACTTATACCATTTTACCAGGTTCTTTATATTTGAAACATTACTATGACAATAACAGTTATTCCTAGTAAAAACTTTATTTTAACTATTCCAAAATGTGCAGAATGTTTTCTTGAAGAACAGATGCTGCAATATTTTTTTTTTGAATAATTAGTCATTATCCAGTAAAACAAAAGGTTCAAAAATGGTCAAAAGGTTAAGGTTGCTCAGTATTGGAAATTTGATCTGGATTTGACATCAGGTAAACAGACTGGCTGCCTAGTTGTTTAAAAAGATAGCCTTTGTATGCTCTGCGTTATTCAAAATAATCTAACTAACCTGATGAACAAAGTAACTCTCTGTTCTTCCAGAAATATCTTAGGATTACATATTCTTATATTAAGAATGCCGTAACTTATTCTTTCTTTAATTATTTTGTCAGTAAGGATTTCACTCTAAATGTTATTGCACTGCAATAAACGTTCAAAGAATAATGTTATCAATCAACCATTTATATTCATAGCAGCTGCATTTAGAAGAGGGCGTTATTAAATTTAAAACTAAAATTTTTTCCCTTCAATTCTTGCTAGCTCTATTAGGTTGAGGTAACTGTCAAAAATGCCATTTATGATGTTTAAAAGTTTCTACATGTTTATAATTAGATATGAATGAAACTGATTCATCTAAAAATATCTCTGGTTCTTTTTTGGTGTTGCAATCATTTCTTCATATTAGTTAAACATTTTCTTCTGTATTTGTTGTCACAGCATTTAAAAAGTTAAAATTAAATACTGCATTTTCATCAACTTGATGATTATTTATACTAATCTTCTCTTCATTTCCGTTTCCTTGCTAGCTGTTCTGCCATTCACCGAGACAAAAATCATATAATTTTTTCTTTTACTGAAAACATATAAGTGCACTCTGAGTTGTTTAAATTTCATAAGTTTTATACACACTGATAACTGTATTTTGAACTACATGCATTTTTTGAATTCTAATCAGTACAATTCATAAACTGATTTTGATGCTGAAATATTATTAAATCTGAATTTTTTAATATACAATATATGCTAATATACATTACTATTAATACTAGTAATAATTTTAATTACTGTGTTTACTTGCTTATTTTTCTTCTTAACATTTTAGCCAAGTTTCTCAAACTCATAAGTATTCACATAATATTCTCCTTTTTCAAGTCAATCAGACAGTGAACTTCCCTAAATTTTAAAATGGACTTATCCATTTACTAAGTTATTTGTTTGTGGATTTTGAGGCTCTGCTTGATGAAACAATAATACCGTCGAGCTTCAAGAAAACCAAGATAACTAATGCTCATGATGGTTCTGAAGATCACTCACTGCATATGGAAAGAGAGAGTGAAGAGCTGACAATGGCAACGACATGTAAGCTGTAGCAGATGATACAGACAAAGCAATTTCAAATGACTTGAGGTCTAGTAAGCAGCAGTGGGCAAGATTCAAGATACAGGAAGTAGATATGAATATATCTTACTAGATATTAGTAATTTTAATGCTACTATGTTTCTTATTAGAATGTAGGTTCCTTTTAAATAAATAATACTGTGATAGTTACTAGCAGTTTATAAATGAATAATTTTGTTTCATGGAAGTGAAATTATTTAAGTAATTTTCTTCTCTCAATTTCAACTAATAATACAATTTCAACTTTTATTTCACAATGAAAACGAAAAATATTTGCAAAAGTGGAATTATGCTTGTTACATAGTAACTTTTCATAAACAAAAGATGCAAAACAAAAATACATTTTTTTTATTAATATTGCTTAAGCAAATATACATTTGATTTTAAAAATTTTAATTTTACCTGCAAAAATTTGCATCATCAATTAAAACCCAATGTCCTTTCTCAACAGCCTGGACTAAGACACTGTCCATCCATTCAAACTGCCCACCAATTGACCCTACACTTGAATTCAATTTAGAAAATAACTCAGCAACTTCTTCCTTGAAATTTGTTAGAACTGTAAAAGAATGACAATTAAAAACAATGATTTATTCAATTGAGAAACTTGCACATAATAAGTAATTTAATATAATAAAATTTAGTTTTAAGATATTTATTAATGCAAAGAATTCTCTATTAGTCTAATTAACAGTTAAAAATATTAATAATTATTAACAAGACTTGAATTATTGCAGAGTTTAACTCATAACAGCAATTTCAAGCATTATTCAGTTTTTAAGCTGATAACTGTAAATAAAATCAAGTTAATTTTTAATTTACATATCTTCAATTAACAGAGAATTGAAAATACCTGGAGAAATTTTGACTGAAAATATTCTAAAAATCACATTTCCTCAGAGGATGACAAGGTAAATGAGTTCAGCAATGCATTTAAAGCTGTCTTGCTTTAAACAGAATGCCTTTGAGGAAAAACTTTCTATGGGGACTTCCCCTTTATTCACATTACATATGAAAAAAACTAAGTAAACTTTATGCAGACAACTCATTTGTCTAGAATTAAATTTCAATGAATAGCCAATACACAGCAATCTTATTGCTTAGTTACAATTGGTGTCCATGCATAGGGGGAAAAAAAAAAAAAAAAAAAAAAAAAAAAAAAAAAAAAAAGAGGATTCTTCTTGATATCATAGTGGTATTAAATAGAGTTAATATTTTTTCCAGCAGAAAATTAAATTCTTTGTAATGAGAACATAAATAAAAGGGGAAACAGACTAGTCGAGTAATGTTTTTTACATGCAATGTACAAAAGTTACAAATATCCCACAATTAACGCAATTTTAAAGTTTCACTTGCCTATCTTAATAAAAATAAAAAACGTATAAAATGTTAGCTGCTGGATTTTTCTACTGTGAATCGATGATATTCCTTCATATTGTCATTACAAACAAAATACATTTTGAATTCAGTTAATTTAACTACTGTGGTTTCGTGGCTAGACTTAGAATATAGAAAAGATAAGGATATAAAGCTTAAAAGTACTCCACTTAAAGATACCAGATAAATCACTTAAAACAATGAACATGCAGATTTTTAGCAATCAAAACAAAAAACAAATTTCAGTTTGAATGACTATGATTTCAAAATATTCAGTCATCTGGGTCCAAATATAGACTTAGAGGACAGTTAAACACTACCAAAAATAACTACTTTACACAGGAGACACTAGAAACCAAAAAAGACAATATAAGAGCCAAGATTATAAAACAATAACTGTTTTGGCCTCCTCGGTGATTTGTGCCCAGAGGGCGCACCGCACAAAGAGTTAGTTGCGTTACAGAACGTAAGGGAAGCAGACATGGCAAAATGTCGGGCGTATTACCGCTAATTGAGGTAATTGCATCGTATCTGTCAGGTGGCAGAAAACTAGTATGCTGTATCAATTCACATGCCAGGTGGCAGAATATGTCTATCATGTACATGCCAGGAGGCATAACGCTTGTAAATATGCCAGGTGGCATACGATTTGTAAATAAATTGTAAATAAATGTACAGTAAAATATCTTGGCGCAATAGATCAAGGAACACGCATCAACAACCTTCTGATCATTTGGATACATACATTTTTCTTTTGGTGACCCGGACGTGATTTGTGGAGATGAAGAATGGACGAAGAAAAGTAGCTAGTTCATGAAAATTAGTGAGTTCACGACAGAAAAGCCAGGATTTAATGCGAAGAAATTCGAGGTAGGCCCCTTTTTAATTTTTCCAGTTTTGAATAGAATTGTTGAATAAAAATCTTGTTGATTATAATTGTTGATAGAATCTAATGGTAAAATGGAGGCTATGAATAAGGCAAAGAAGTTGCGTACGGTGACGTGTTACTTAACTACTAAGTTGATGAGTAAAATAGAATCTGCATTGTTAGAAGAGGGTGAAACCGCGAATGAGAAATTAAAAGAATTACTCGAAATGTTACTTGAAAAATCGCAGTTGTTGAAACAATACAATTCTGAGATTGAAAAACTTATAATTACGGAACAGGAGTTGGAAACAGAAGTAATTTCCGCGCAGGAATATCAGGAAAGAATTATAAGTTTTAAATGTAAAATTCAGGAAAAATTAAGAAAAAACGCGTGCAAAGTTGAATCTAGAAATTCTAGTGAGGAAACTATATCTCCAAAATTGAAAACTTGTGAAGTTAATACTTAAAATTGCCAAAATTAACGATTACAAAATATTACGGTGATCCTTGTTCTTGGCTTGAATTCTGGAATCAGTAATTCCATTCACCAAAACGAAAGTCTCAGTTCGGTTGACAAGTTTTGTTATTTAAAATCGCTTTTAGGAGGTTTAGCTTTAAATGCTATTAGTGGATTAACATTTACTAGTGAAAACTATACGGTGGCTGTTGATATACCAAAAAACCGTTTCGGCAGAGATGACATGCTTATTAATGCGCATATGAATAAATTGTCGAGTTTAGAACCTGTAAAATATTCCGGAAATACGGCTTCTTTGAGGAAGCTTTATGACGATATAGAAATACAAATAAGGAAATTTAAATTCCTTTAAATGTTACTAGTGGTTCTTATGGGACATTTATTATCCCCTATTTTGTTAAAGTTTATACCCGAGAATTTAACTCTAGAATTCACTAGGAAAAGAAGTGAGAAACAAAATTTCGATGTTAATGAACTACTAACGTTCTTGAAAACGGAAGTGGAATGCAAGGAAACGTCAATGATGTTAGCGCGTTCTAAGAATTTTGATGTAAATGAAACATCAATACGAAACAAAAGTTCCCATCAAGGTTATCAAAATAAATCTTACATGCATTCTAAAAGAAATATTTACAGTATGAATAAGCAAGGTGCTTCAGTATTAACTAGTCAAAGCGAAACTCCCTTTAAATACTTTCAAAAATCACATTTTAATCAAAATCGAAAGTTCTCTACCCCGCCTAAGAAAAAGAATCAAAATGTCTGCATATTTTGTTTATCTGCTTGTCATATGAATCATGATTGCACACTTCATTTAAAGGCTCGCCGAAAGGCATTAATGGATCAAGGTTTATGTTTTATTTGCATTTCGAAAGGGCTTTTCGAGAGGCGTTTCTGTGCTCATAAAGATGAAAAGTGCAGTCTGTGCAATATCCAAGGTTTACATAATTCGTTAATATGTGACGCCGCATCAAAAGATTTAGAGACGGATACTTCCAATCAGACAAAACAAACGCCAATCCCTGAAGCTTCTCTTTCACTCTTATGTAATGAAAATAATAACAAAATTAAACCACCAACTTCCGTTCTTTTACAGACATTTTCGGCGATAGTGAGGTGTAAAGGGGGAAACGAAAAGGTATTACGTTGTATGCTAGATTCAGGGTCAACAAAGTCATTCATCTTACGAGAAGTAGTTGATTTACTGGGGTTGAAAGTTATTCATAAAGAAGCACTTATTATTTTCACATTTGGATGCAAAGATGCAAAAGAGCGCTTGTATGATATCGTAGAAATAGTATTCCAAAATGTAAACCATCCCAATGAAAAGATAAAAATTAACGCAATAGTCATTGATTCTATAACACTAGGGCAAGTAAAAGTTCCTTCTCAGTGGATACGACAGATAGCGTTTGAGAAGGGAATAGAATTAGCAGATGCTGGTACGAGTGACGAAATTCAAGTATTAATAGGTTCAGATTATATTTGGGAAATTTTAGGAGAACGAAACGTGAAGATTTGTAAAAAATTAGTCGCAACAGAAAGCACTTTCGGTTTCGTGATTCAAGGCAGGGACGAAGGATCAAATTGGAAGGATGCAAGATTTAATCATATAACCGTTGTAAATGAGGACTTAAATTATGAAAGAGTTAAAAAATTATGGGAATCAGAAGCAATTGGGATAAGTTCGGATAAAGAAATATATCGATCAGATAAAGAAATTTTAGAGTCATTTGAACGAAATACAACTTACGAGAATAAAAGGTATGAGACTCGATTATTGTGGAAAGTGGGTGTTAAAGGTTTAAATAACAATTATGAAATCGCGAAACAGCATTTACTATTTTTAAATAATAAATTTCAGAAAAACAGCGAGCTATATTTAAAATATAATGAGATAATTAATGAACACTTGAGAGATGGTGTAGTGGAACGGGTAGATACGTATTTGAATGGTAATTTGAAAACAGGGTATTACATGCCTCATCACGTGGTAGTGCACGAGCAGAAGGATTCTACAAAGTTTCGAATAGTTTTTGACGCTTCTTCTAAAAGTAAGGGAAATTTATCACTTAATGATTGTTTGGAAAGCGGACCTAATTTAAATCCTGATTTGCTAAAGATTATCATTAAATTCAGGGTACATTCAATTGCGTTTTGTGCCGACATTCAGCGTGCATTTTTAGAGGTACGCTTAGCTAAAGAAGATAGGGATTTTTTAAAGTTTTTGTGGATAAATGAAGAGGGGTCAAATCTCGATCACAGTAATCCCAACTTACAAGTTCTCCAACACAATCGAGTTCCTTTCGGGGTCAAGTGCTCACCTTATTTATCAACAGCTACAATAAGACTGCATTTAAAAAAGTATGAAGATGCCTACGAAGAGGCATGCAGTATGTTAAAAGAGCTTTACGTAGATGATTTAATTTCTGGGACAGTTAATGTAGCAAAGGCCTTACATTTAAGCAAGGACATGATTTTCATTCTTAGCGAAGCCAGTATGAATTTACGTAGATGGGTTTCAAACTCACCTGAGCTGAATGAACTATGGAAACTTAATGGAATTGACTCTCGTGAAACATCTGAAGACTCTTTGGTACCGTTGAAAGTTTTAGGTCTTATCTGGGACAATGTCAATGATAATTTGAAAATAGATGTATCTCAGTTTGAGAAGTTACAAAATCTCAAAGTAACTAAACGCATCATTTTAGCAGCATGTGGTATGCTGTTTGATCCCTTGGGAATTATGAATCCATTTACTGTTCGAATTAAACTCTTAATGCAAACTATGTGGGAAAAGGGTATTCAATGGGACGAAAATGTTCCCCTTGATACA